CTACAGGTTTTTCAAACAGTTTTCGCTTGACTTTATTTTTTTTATTTTCATCAATTTTTTTATATTATAAAAAACAATTATATAATTTGACAGAAAGCTTTTTTATATTTTTTATAACGAATATAATTAAAAAGCATTTGCTTTTTTATATATTTTTTTTATAACGCTAGATTAACTTTAAACAAAAAAAATTTAATTTTTTTTTTATATACATTATCGGATTATAACGTTATGACGTTATCGGATTATGACGTTAGTTATGACGAAGGTCAGGATGGAAGGTTGGGTGGGAGGAAAGTAAGTAAATCCTATATGAGTATATCATCAGCTATATGTCATAATAATGTCAACACATGTTAAATGTGAAATATTTTATTATTAAAATAGAAATTAACTCTTGTTTTTGTTTTGTTTTGAATTATATCTTTGTGGAAACATAAGTTTGATTTTTTTCCTTGGAAGATTGTGATCACCAGAAGAGGTTTCTGTAAAATTAACAATAAAAAGGTAATAAATGATAAGTTACAACAACATGGAATTATAAATATTAGTGTAAGTAAAATTATACTACAGTATATAATTTATCCAACTACATACCATCTTCAATATCAAAAGAAGTCTCTTTGTTTATGTCAGTATCTTCCACATTTGACATTACTAATCCTCTCTTAGCTAAATTTGATGCTTTGCTATAACTTTCCACTGATAATATATAAAATTAAAATATACAATCTGCCTAAAACCTGATTATCATATTCAAACATACTTAAAAGAATAACGTAATATTATGGTATTAAAAGTATTTTTATAGCTTTTCATTTCTTGAATAAATTGATTATTCAACATGCGATATTTTAAAATCAAAATATTTCATAGATTTTATACAAATTTATAAATAAACATAATGCTTATGTTGTAAAAATGCATTCATTTAAAGTTGAACTAAACTTTTGAATTATCAAAATTTGAACAAATGGTATCACTACATGCAAAGACGCATCATTTTTTAATCAGTGCTCATATAACAAAATAACAAACTTGCAACCAACAAATTATTGTAAGTCTTTACGTGCCGCCACAAAAGTTCTAATTTTGTAGAGTATCCATTTCGGATCAGGTAGTTCATATTTTTGACTCTGCACACTGGATCCTTTCTGGGTCATGAACCAAGCATTATATATATATATATATATATATATATATATATATATATATATATATATATATATATATATATATATATATATATATATATATATATTTTATATATATATATATATATATATATATATATATATATATATATATATATATATACATATATATATATATATATACTAGCTGGGCGGACCCGTAAAATACGGGTCTTTACCGAACCGACCATTTTTATACTTATCTGATCATTTCTATAGCTATCAGGACGTAAAATAAGGGTCTTAGTAAATCTATTCCACACCGACCTTTTCTATACTTATTCCTTACCTCAATATTTTTTTAAAACCGCTTTAAAAACTATGTACATATAAAAAACTATACTTACTTTTTGATATGACAAAAAAATTTCATTATATAACGTTATAATGTTCTTTAAAAAACTTTAAACGCTTTTAATATTATGCCGATTATAAAAATTTTAATAAGAAAAAACGTAAAAAAGACTACGAACTTTGAAAAATGCTAAAACATTCAGCACGTGATGCCGTTAAAGTACGCCTTAGTTAACGTTCATAACATATACACATCTAATTAGATTTTTTTTAAATTCAGTTGTTCCAAACTTAGTTTTGAATTTTTAATTACACTTCTTATGCGTCATAAATTATCTCAAATTCTAAATAGAGAATACGTTTATGGGCTAATTGGTAGCCGCGCAACACTTAGACAGATATAGTCATCTCACCCCGGGAGTTCATATTCCAGTGACCTTTTTTTTCATCCCAACTTACAACAAAAATAATTAAAAATAAATGTTGTTATTGAAACAGTTTTAAACATTTCTTCCAATTTTTCTTTGAACTTAATTTTATTCACGGTAAATATACTTTTGGTGTTTGTAAGCGTTTTTTTACGTTTAGTATTGGTAGGAATTATTTGCACGCACGTATTTTAAACAATTATTTTTACTGTTTCATCTAAAAATCATATGTAATTTAGTTTTATAATTTTTTAAATATAATATATATAATTTAAAATATTTTATTAACCCTATTTAAATAAGTATCAAAACTCTTTTCTTTAATTTAAAAGAATGCCTGCCCAAACCTAAACGCTCAGTTGATGTATCTCCGCTTTGTTTTTATTTGTTAACCGTTAGAAAAACATTACAAAAAGAAACATAATAGAGTCCATTAGTTTATAGCATCCGAGTAGACTCTTCCAATATTAAACAGAGTATCTTACAATTTTATTGGTTTTCTAAATTCTGTCATAGTTGCGCACTCGGTTTAGAATATTTAACGGGGGCGTAAATAAGTAACTGTAAATTTCTAAATATTTTTATTATTTTAAATTAAATAGTTTTAACGTTTTATTATTTTGAAAAATAATAAATTCAATAAAATAATTTATTTTAAAAATAAATTTAAGATTTTTAAAGTTTTTTTAAATAAGAATGTTTTTTTTTAAAACCCCCTCACTGTTTTAAAAAAAATTCAATGTCGCCGCGTGGCAAGTTCAAATCATCAGCTTGCTTTTTTTAATAAAATTATTGTTATTTAAAATGCAAAACAAAACAACTTTATAGTTCTAAATATTTACATGTTATATACCCAATTTCTTTGCGCTAATACGACTTAAAATAACATGACAAATAACAAATTTAAAATTATAATAAATAAAAGTTTACGTAAGGCTAACCACGGCATTTTGACGAAAATTTCAAAAATATATAATAAATAAAAGACTTTGTAAATCGATCAAAATTCAAGAGACGTTGCCGCAATGCTGTTTTTAAGTGAAAGTAAAACTGTAAAACTTGACATGTTTTTGTATGTTTTAACATTTCATATTTTGAAGTTTACGTAAGTTAGATATTTGCATACACTTTTGTTTACGTTTATTTATCAAAAAATGCTGAGACTCTTCCTTGCCATTACTTTGGTTGCAATAGTTGCCATGGGTTTGTCAAACACGCTCGAAAGAGCGCTACTAACACTATTAAGTTCGGCAATAATATATAGAGAAGATAGCTTTTAGTAAATGGTATGAATATACATTTGATAAAGTATTTTTGATAATGTATGAATAGACGTATTACTAATGGTATTAGTAATACGTCTTTAGAAAAAGTAAACGCTTTTAAAAAATGATTAACGATTAACAATTTTTAAACCAGTTATAACAGGAAATCTACCTATAAAATGAAGAAAAATATTGTTATATAAAACACTGAATACACATATAAAAGTTGTTTAAAGTTATTTAAAAGTTGTCTAAATGTTGAAAAATTACATAATAAGATGTAAAAAAATATATAAAAGGTGACGAAACTTAGTCAATTATCAAACACTAAATAAGAAACTTACTTTGTGAGATCGCTTTTGTGGAAGTCTCTAGTATTTGATTGGAAGGCTGGAAACACTCTTTATTTAAAAAGCTATTTTATCAACAATGCTAAAGATAAAAAGTCACAGTGAGATAAAAAAATTAGGCATTTATTCAAAAAAATATTTCTTGGCTTTTAGTGAATGATTAGAAGGAGTAGTTTCAGTAATGAAGCTAGCTAATAATCATTTTTAACGATAGACACCAGCGTGAAGGTAAGCCAAGCTGTCTATCAACACAAAACATCACAACAGAAACATTACACAATGACAAACAAAAACACCAGTGGTGTAGACAGGACTTTTGTTGTTTTATAAGAAATTTAAAACCTGTTAATGAATAAGATTATTAATATATGATTAAAAAAAATACTTTTTTAACTAATTGGCAGCTAAATTTAAGGGAGGAAAGCAAACCTTTTTAAAACATATTTGTTTTCAAGCCCCAACCACATCCATATTTTACAAATTATTTGAATTTGACAAACATGAACACAATTAAGTTTAGTTGAAAGAGTCTGAAAGTGATGAAAGAGTTTGAAAGTAAATAGTCTGGAAGTAATGAAATAGTCTGAAAGTAATGAAAGTAATAAAAGAGTCTGAAAGTAATGAAAGAGTTTGAAAGTAATTAAAGAGTCTGAAAGTAATAAAAGTAATAAAAGAGTCTGAAAGTAATGAAAGAGTCTGAAAGTAATGAAAGAGTCTGAAAATAAAAGTAAAACCTGAAGCATCAAAAAATCCTGCCTACGCTACTGAATAATACACAACATATGACATTTGTAAGTGCACATTACACAATGTATTCAGATATTATGTGTTTCCAAAATAATTATAAAAGCTAGACAACACAACCTAGTTCAACACTTGTAACACCGCTTGGCACTAAACGCTGCCAAGTAACACCACAATTTAGTAACACCGCTTGGCATTAAGTGCCAAGTAACACCACTAATTAGTAACACCACTTGGCTGGCAAGGATCACAATCTTGCACTACACGTTGCCAAGTAACACCACTTTTCAAACATGGAAACAACATAATATAAACTTAAACACATATAAACAAACATATACAAACACAAACATCTATATATAAGTAAAAACATATATTCACATATATAAACATATATAGCAAAGAAAAAAAACATAAACAAACTTGTCAAAATTATAAATTAAGAACATTTGTAAACACAACATTATTTGTGTAATATTTGTTAAATGACATACCTTGTAATGCATGTTTATCAACTTTAAAAAACAAACTATTAAAAGATTTTGTTCTTGAACATGCAACATATAATTGGCCGTGTAAAAAGCAAGGCTTTTTGAGATAAACACCAACTTTATCAAATGTTTGACCTTGACTTTTATTTATGGTCATTGAGTATGCTAACCTAACTGGAAATTGACGACGTTTAAGTGTAAAAGGTAAATTTGAATCTGATGGAGCTAATTGAACTCAAGGAACAAATACCCTGTTACCAGCTGATACACCTGTTAGAACCTCACCATCAATGTAATTGTTGTGTAGTGCACGCACCATCAAACGTGTTCCATTACAAAGTCCACCTTTGAGATCTAAATTTCTAAGTAGCATTATAACAGCACCAATTTTCAACTTTAGGCAATGAACAGGCATACCTGATGGAGTCAAAGTATTTAAAAACTCAACTGGAAAATTATAAATTTCATTATGATCATCAGTTTCAATGCTATCTGAACTTAAATAAATTTTAACATCACCCGGTAATCGATGAAAGACTTCTTCATTTATTGCCAATGAATCAACATTTGTTGGTGTTAAAATAGCACGTTTTGCATAATCAGCTTCTTCTGCACCACCAAAAATCTTTTCCACAATAGATTCATTATCATTGAGAAAACACTGCTCAGGTATTTCAATACACCCTTGCAAAGGATCTTCAGGCTTGACAGGTAATGTTCCACTTCCAAGCTTTAAAAGCCATTGAGAAAATTCCTCTTCTCCTATCTGAACCCTCATATTTTCAGTTAATGAAAACCTTTGCACATATTGCCAATGTTCAGAACACTTTATACATGATTCTACAACATCTGCTGGTCGACCTCTCTTCACAACTGGAAGTATTTGTCGAAAATCTCCACCCATAAGAATAACTTTACCACCAAAAGGAAACTTATTATAACAAATATCTTGTAATAACTTATCAATGGCACTCAAAGCATGTTTGGGTATCATAGATGCTTCATCGAGTAAATATAAACTAACTTGTCTCAGGAATCTACCATGAATGGAGTTTGGAGTTACATTACATGTGCTAGTTTCCAAAATTGGAACAGGAAGTTTGAATAAGCCGTGCAATGTGCATCCATTCTTAAGAAGAGTTGCAACTATTCCTGTCCATGCAGCTGTTGCAGTTCTAATATGCCTGCTGCGTGTTTCAGAAATTATATAATTGTAATTAAATGTTTTACCACAACCGGCAGGACCATCCATAAAGAAAAATCTTAAATGCTTATTTTCATTATTAGGTTCTTCACTAAGTGCAGCAAGGATTGCATCAGCTACATTACGCTGATTATCGCTTAATAATGGTCTAACTTGATTTGCTTCATCAATAAATAACTGAATATCTCCATCATCATTTTCTAGGACATTATCTAATAACTGATCTAATGTAGGCAAATTATAATCAGTTAAAGTTTTACCACTCTGATTAATTATAGATTCAATTTGACGAAGAGCAGTCTGTTCAGCAAGTACAACTGGCATTGAATGGTGTATGTAATCCTCAATCATATAATCTTTAAATGTATTCCAAAGGTGTAAAGGATCATCAGGTTCACATAAAGTCAATATGATGGAAAACAGTTGCCTAATTTGTTTAGGCATTCGAGTTGCTACAGCTTCAGTTAATGTATTTCTCCATTTAAATTCATCTTGCAATAGACCTAATCGATAACATGCTTCACGAAATGTATTAAAAACAGTGCCATGAATAGAACACAAATCCTCAAAAGACATTGCACCTTTTACATGCAAAAGCAACAATCTAAGAAAAAATACTTCACTGGTTAGATTGACTTTATACATTCGCACAATCACCTTATCACTGCCTCTTTGTCTTACTTTCCACTTGCAATTTTTACCATCAAAAACAAAGTGATATGGAATTTCAACATAAGAATACTGACGTGCTTCATTTATCTCAGCATTTAATTTAAACCAAGCAGTTAGGTGAGTGTCACGCTGTGCAGCACGATCTATAGCTACTCGTTCTTCTCCTTCGTTAAAATATACCCTCTGATTATCAGGAAGGTGGACTTGAAGGCGGATAATAGTATGTGACATATCACTTATGGAATACTCAAATATTCGCCAAAGAGCCTCTGGTGCAGAAACAAAGCGACAATCTAAATATGTGTTAATTTCATCATGGTCAAGACTTTCATTAATTAACACATGAGCACAATCATGCCCCTTATAGACATATTTATATAAATACTTAACTGACTTAATAGACATGCAAGCTTCAACATTAATATGTGCTTGGTATTTTTTAGATAACCAAGGGTTGTAGGGTACAACCCATCGATTATCAACTTGGTTACCTTTTATAACGACTACTCTACCATTATCTAAACGCCTGTAGTGAGGATAGCCATTGAAAGTTGCAACAGTGTGAGGATTAAATTCTTTAGGAAACTTTTTTGTGCAAATCCCATCTTTCATGCAAGAAGAATTGGGATTCAAAATTCCACATGGTCCGTGAATCATACATGTTTTTATAATTTCAAAAAGTTCAGGATTAACAGTTTGATCTGGAATTTCAGCTGATATTAGACTATCAATATCCTCTGCTGTTTCTAGCTTATCATCATTTACAAAGTGCAATAAAATATGTACATGTGGCAAACCACGTTTTTGAAACTCAATAACCTGTACATGACTTATAACTTTACCTAAGACTCCGTGTTTAAAAATATCATCTAGGAAGCATTTAAGTTTCATCTTAAATACACAACAAACTAAATCAGGTCTGTCAGATGGGCTCTCACCTGGATTTAAATTTTCTGTAATTTCTCTCCATTTTGGATTGCAGGTAAAAGTAATAAAAAGATCTGGTTTGCCATATCTCTTTATAATTGCCATTGCATCTTCAAAATTTTCTTTTAAAGCTCTTGGACTTCCAACATATGAGGATGGTAGTATAACAACACGACCTGGTGTTACATTAAGGTTATTTGCAGCGTTATTTACATGTTCATATAATGTATCATATTGTTCACTTCTAAGTCTGTTTTGGTTATTTCTAATAAAAGCAAGGCGCTGACCCTCAATCTTGACATATGCATCAACAGCATACTGTTGAAAAAGCTTCTTACCATAAAATATAGGATTAAAGGTTTCTCTAACAGAAAGCCTGTAATTGTAGTACTGAGACAAAGTAACCCGATTTCTAACACGTGTAGCTCGGTCAGGATGATGCTCTAGTTGCTCATGCCATCCAGCATCACCTCTTGGAAAAAATATTGGATATATCATTGGATCTAGATTTGCAGACATACTTGAAATTGTTTTTAAGGCCTGACCTCGAGGGTATATAACTACTTCCCTAGATGGAGGTGGAGCACCATCATCCCCAACAAAAACAATGGCAACTTCCTCATGTGAAGGAAGATTGTATCGACGTCTATCACCACCTTCAAGCAATGACATTTTAACAATCGAAGTTGGTCGACCTTCTAAAGCTGCTTGACGTACTTCTTCATCTTCAATTTCAGCCATGTTTTTAAATGCAAGAGCAAATGGGTTCTCTTGACTAATTATAGTCTGCAAAAATTCCATCAACTCACGTATGCAACAATCATTTTGCTCCATTCGAAAATTTAAAGCAGTATTAGGATCATAAACATATAACTGACAATATGCACAGAACATTTTGATCAGGTCTCAGATTACCAACACGATGCACAATTTGTCCGCAAATCCTAAAACAGGGTGGCCCATGATCAGACGGAGGAGCTATTCTTGCTGTGAATGAAGCAAAAGATAAACAGGCATTATAACTTTGAATATGCTTGAAGAAATTTTGATTCATAGCACGATCAACATGGGTGCCTGTTATTAAATTGTGCATGAGCAGTGGATAAGGCGAAAGTGGAGCTAACGCAACTTTTCCAGAATGGCAGCACAGAAAATGTGTTTCATTTAAAAATTTTTTGGCACCACAATATTGACAAAAATGTTCATTTCTCCAAGGTAATTACTCACTATAAAAACATTATTTCTTGCTATGCAATGCATTCCACGTCTATGTAATACTCTCCTAGCCTGATTTCTTTCATTTTGGCGACGATTAATTTCTTCTCGCCTAGCCTGATTTCTTTCATTTTGGCGAAGATTAATTTCTTCTCGCCTTGCCTCATTTCTTTCATTTTGGCGAAGATTAATTTCTTCTCGCCTTGCCTCATTTCTTTCATTTTGGCGACGATTAAGTTCTTCTCGCCTAGCCTCATTTCTCTCATTCCGACGATTTCTTCTTATTTCAGCTCTCAAGTTATTTGACATAACTAAGAAACTATGTTTGATTAAAGTTGATTTGATTAATTTTTTGTTATACTAATCTAAAATGGAAAAACATAATATGTGCATTTCTATTTATCAATATAAACTCTATAAGACTATTTATATATTTTCTAATAAAAATTATTGACCTAAAGTCTTAACTTAACTGGTTTAAAACAGAGAAAAACCTAAAAGTTAAACATAAGTTGAACCACTAAGTATTACATTTAAAGTAATAAAACAAAATATTTTAGAAATAAATTAAAATAAAATTATAACAATTTTAACAATTTTTTAATGCTAATAATAACTAAATTAAATAGTAAAATTATTTACAAATAAAAAAACGACATGCCAAATTGCAAATTGCAAATAAAACTTGTCTAACATGTAACATCATATAGTTCACATGTGGCTATCTTTAATGATTACTTTTTTATAATAAAAATCTAAAGAGAATAATATAAACATTAATATGTGTATAATGCAACAATTAGGCATATAAAACAAACAAATAGAATAAGAAAAAATTGTAACTAAATTACAAAATATTTACTATCAAGAAATCAAAAACTATATGAAATAAATAAAAATTAATAGACAAATTATTTAACATTTAACCACATAAGAGTTGTTTTGAAAGTTTAGACTCTCAAATCAGAAATAAAAATCAATAAATATAAAATTAAAAAATTAAAATATCAAAAATAAATAAAAATACTTGCAAAAATCGAAACTAAAAAACAACTTTTTTGAAACGTAAAGATATATTTACAACAAATAAATAAATTAACACAAAAAAAAAAAAAAACTACTGATAAAAATTCATAATGTTTGACCTTTGGTCATTCTGCCTCCCAGCACCACTCCTCCTACCGGTGGCCCCATATGGGATCTGTCTCCTCCATCTA